CCGGCGTCGGAGAGATCTCCCCCCTCGGTGCAAGGCGTACCCGCACGTAATCCTCGCCGAGAAGCCGGCGAGTCTTGCGGAGGAACTCGATGTGGTCATCATGGACCTTTGAGCCATCCCAGGTGCCGGAATGCACCGACGGAGGCGCGGCGGCGGAGGAAGAGCTCATCCTGATCGGATCGCCGCAGCGTTCGGCAAAGCTTGGGCGCGCGGCGGTGCGAGGAAGAATAAGAGGAAGAGCAAGGAGTAGCATGGAGGAGGGGCGCGCGTGCTCTGCCGCGCCCCCCTCCTCCCCCTACTTATAGCCTCATGGGCTGCGAAGCCGAGGGGGCGGTCGTGGGATTTACTGCGCCCACGACCCCACGACCCCCACGTTTTCATGCCAAAGTTACTACGCGTAGTAACTTTACGGGAATCCCAACCATCCGCTCGGGCCGCAGCGGATCCGCTCGTGCGCCGAGGCGCGATAATGGCGGGCCCCGCCTGCGGGCCTGTTCCGTCACGCGTGTGGGCAAGCAGACTGGCCTGCCGCGTGTTGCCACGTGACAGGCCCGGCACAGGCGGCGGCCGGGAAGCTTAGCCAGCATGCCACTTGGATCCCGCCACGGCGTTCGAAATATTGTTCAAATCAGAGTTGAGTGAGTCCGACTCCTTCTAGTCGGCCCGGCAGAAGTCAAGCAAGAACCATGTCTCGGGCACCCGGAAAGAGAAACTGCTGAGGCTCCTCGGCCGATCGTCCGCGGCGCCTCATCAGCTTCGGGGACTACTGTCGGAGTAATGGGCCACGGGTAGGCTAACCCGAGTCCCTGAACCTTTCAAGACATCGGGGCAGGCTGCGCCCCTCAAGACCCCAGGATGAAGAGCCGCCTTCTGAGAAGTCGGCGGCAAGGCAACCGACTGCCCACTCGTGGCCGAGTCCCGGAGACGGCTTCAGGATGAGCCGACTCCTAACTAGCGACCTCCAGAGAAGCCGGCCATGGGAGCCGGCCTGCGACTCCAACAAACCCCACGCCCTCATCAAGAGGGACGGGGCGGGGAGTGGCTACAGTAAAGCCCGCTCGCACCCCTTTCCAAGGGCAGGCATGGCCACAGTATGCCGTACCCGTGAAGATCTCCGTCCGGCGCGGCACTGTTGCCATGCCGTCCCTGATATCAGCACCAGTGGGCAGAATCCTGCGCCCATGACGGCTTGTCTGTACGACCCTGGGACGGCAGGTCCTACCAGTCAGCGGGAGTCCAGAAGACGGCGAGAGCGCCACCAGTCGGCCCGGATGGGGGTCGGCCCCCAGGAGTTGGCCAGCCCCTCCCCCGGGGCCCATGCGCCATTAACCAGATGTGACAAGGAGTGGTAATAGTGATCGCCCGCCAGGCGGCGGGGCTGTCGCCACGACCCCATGACCAAGCCCGCGTCATTAGAAGCACGGCTACAGTAATCAGCAGCCGGCAAGACCTGCCAGCGGCGGACACGGCCTGTCGGTGTCGTACCGGACCAGTCGGCGGGGCCCGCCAGTTGGCAGGCCCCAGCAGTCGGCGAAAAAGACGGAGGTCGGAGAAACTGACGGCTAGGCCCGCGCCCAGCCGGATTACCATTGTACCCCTGGGGTGTGGGTCTATATAAACCCCCAGGGCACCCATGCAAAGGGTTTGAATCCACTCGTACTAGACCAGATGAGATAGGAAGGAGAGAGCTAACCTAGTCTTCTCCTACCTCCAAGAAACAGCTCAAGGAGCAACCGTGTACACACTTTGTCATAGTGATCATGCAGAGACCCCACAGAGCAGCAGTAAGGGTATTATCTCCACGGAGAGCCCCGAAGCTGGGTAAGATTCGCCGGCGTGCATGCCTTCACCTTATCCCGTTTCGAGGCACCAGCGACGTTCTACTCACCCCCACCATGAAAAGCCATCCTTTGGCATATGTCGCACCCAACCCCCGACACTATTATCTGCCTGCTATCATTGTTTTTGGGTCTATCCACAATTTGCTACCATCACTCTGGATTTGTGCATGCACTCCTTACATAATCTCACTATGTTTTATTCCTATGCATGTCAGTTATTGTACACAATGGAACTAAACATGTAGAGCAAAAGAGACGAGCCTTGTGTGGCAATAAAATTTCATGTAGATGTAGCTCCATGCTAGGCGCAAAGGCTGCCCCCCTCAACCCATTTCGGATCGTAATCAAGAGGAAGATAACTGTTATGAGGGGGATTCAGGAGCATAAGACCACCCCTATTTACCCCATGGGGTCTTCACTCTAACTTGGCATGCTGATGTTGGTAATATCATGCATATGGTGCCTTGCATTGCTTACCATATACAACAAAGATGTCATCTGCTTAGTTTAGACATGCTTTGTGTCAACGCCAACTATGTAGTTTCTTTAACGTATATGTGAATCATGCAATGCCATCTTGTTTAGCCAGGCATTATATATGTGAATTTTGCAATGCCACCCTGGTTAGCCAGTCATCTTATATGTGAATTATATTATGACATCATTTTTTTATTACATGTTAAATTTGTCAACAATTTTAGTACATTCAATTACTCTTCTTGTGCATCAGCCGTTCGGGACGGTCATGGAAAAATTTGGAGTGTAAACAAGGTCTTCAGAGCAGACAATGCTATCTGACGAAGCGCATGTCTTGCTAGTTACAGATAGCTCCTCAGAGGAGGATTCAGAGATAGATGACCAGTCCTATTTCTCCCCCCCCGGAGGTGCATGCTCTAACTTGGCAGGGTTATGTTGCTCATATCGTGCGTATGGTATCTTGCATTGCTATGTCATTTGCTTAGTTTAGACATGCTTTGTGTGAATGCCACCTGTTTAGTGTCTAATTACCATATATGTGAATTATGCAATGCCATCTTATTGCAAGACATTATATATCTGAATTATGCAATGCTATCTTGTTGCAAGGCATTATATATGTGAATTATGCAATGCCATGTTGTTTAGCCAAGCGTCATATATATGAATTATATCATGCCATCCTTTTTTTGTATTTATCATTGATTTTGTCGACAATGTTTGTATATTCAACTGCTCTTCCGGTGCATCAGCCATTTGAATTGGTGATGGAGAAATCTGGAGTGAAAACAAGATCTTCAGAGCAGACAATGCTACCTGCTGAAGCAGATATCTTGCTGGTTACACATAGCTCTTCAGAGGAGGATTCAGAGGCAGATGACCAGTCCTATTATCCCCCTGAGGTGTATGCTCAAACTTGGCAGGGTTATATTACTCATATCATGCATACATTGTATTGCAATGCTTAGTTTTTACATCATATACATGATATTGAATGACATCTCCTTAGTTGACACATCATATATGTGATTTCCCTCTGCTCACTTCCTTAGTATATAAATCATATATTTGAATTATATCATGCCATGATGTTTACATAGACAGCATGTATCTGAATTATGGCATGCCAGCCCATTTTCTAAAGACATAATATAGTATGTCATCTCATCCTGTTCACATAGTCATCATATTTTGAATTATGTTATTCTATCCGTGAATTATATCATGCCATCATGTTTCCATCGACGGCATGTTTGTGATTTATGGCATGCCAACCACTTTAATAGACACATCGTATAGTTATATCATGTCATCATGTTTACATAGTCATCATATTTCGAAGTATGTCATTCTATCCTGTTTAGTTAGCCATCATACATGTGAAATTGTGTCATGCTATCTTGTTTAATTAGCCATCATATATGTGAAATTATGTCCTGCTATTCTGTTTGGTTAGACAACATAAATGTGAATTATATCATGCCCTGTTTTCTTCCCTACTATCCATTGCACCTGTCTATCTTACAATGTTTGTACATTCAATTACTTTTCTTGTTTATCAGCCATTTCAATTGGAGGGGGTGATGACAGTATCTGTGGGAGTAAAAACACGGTCTTCAGAAAAGATCGTGCTACCTGTCGATGGAGATAGAACCATGGTTGTACTTGCCCAAGAACCAGCCCCACCACACATAACCCAGACTCACACAGATTGTACCCCTACCCAGTTGGACAGAGAACCAGCTACACCCCTTCTAACCCCAACCCCAGCAGATAGTAACCCAATTCCCATTGACACAGCACCGTCTCCACCACACAGAACCAAACACGAGCAGTTAGTAAGGCAACTGCAGTGCCTAAAGCATGAGGACCACCACTCCAAACCCCAAGTCAACGCTTAAAGCAGAAGAAGAATTGTTCTCAGGTCAGGTTCCATAGCTATGGTTCATACTAATTTGCTCTTGCATCACTGTATTTACTCATACCAACTAATTTCAAATTTGAAGTATGCAATTGAAACTTCAATGGTGCAACAGGTATGCTTTAAACCTCTTACTTTAACGTGTTTGATGTTGTAAGTTGCTCTATGTTGATTTTAGTTTCAATTGAATAAACAGTTATGTTCTCATACCATGCACATTACAAGTGTTGTTATTGTTGTGTAGTTTCCCACACTTATATTCTGTCTATGTTGCTTTGTCTTAAATAGATATGATTCGAACTGTATCTATCTTGATTTGGAAACATGAACTAGAATGATATAGACCATACTACATAGATATATGTTTGTTTTATGTTGTTATCATGTCCACCTTATTACTGAACTGGTTTACCAAAATGAGTTTGTAATGCCCCAAGACCGGAGATTCAGATGCCTTCCATGATTTTTGAGATTCGTCGTGTGATTTGTTTGGTTCGTTGCTTTCATTTTTGCATCATGTGCATTGCATATGTCATCTTGCACCTCTTCTTAAAACTCAACCAATTAAATTGTATGGATCTTCGATTCATTTAAACCGAGGGATATTCACTATGGTGATTTCTCTTTAAAACATATTCTCCCAATATTTTAGGGAGCTATAAAAATTATATTCCAATAATTTGGAATCACCCATAAACACAATTGCAAAATATCCCAATGCCCTTGCTATCTTAATTCTTGGTCTCCAACCTTGCCATATATTATTTCATCATATTTCGGAGCTCCACTAAAAATCTGAACATTTTTGGACCTTCCCAAACCTCACTTCCTATTCAAATCATTTGAATTTAAATCAAATGAGTTTGAATTTAATCTTTCAATCTTGGCCATTTCTATTTTCTTGGAACGAGCACATTTTTGTTAGTCCGGGAAATTTATCCGTGTGTCCAACTTCTTCCCCTAACCCCCCTCTTTCTTTTTCTCCTCTTTAATTGGTTTCTATTAATGGAAATAAAGAAGAGATGAGAGAGGGAGTGGAGAGCCCAGCAGCCTCCCTCTCCTCTGGGCCGGCCAGCCAGGCCGCCCTGCTCCCCTTAGCTCACCAGAGGCCCAGCCGGCCCCTGCCTTCTCAACCCTAGTCACGCTCTCTCCCGATCCCCTGGTCTCTCCCTCTCGTTCCCCCTCGCGCCGTAGGAGACATCGAGCGCGTGCCTTGTTCGATCTCCCCTTCCCCTCCTTCCACCTAGCGCCGCCACCTCCTCCCTCTGCTGCTCGGATCTCGCACCGGCGAGCCCCCTGTGACCTCCCTTGGCCCTCCTTCGTCAGCTCCACGCCCAGGATCCTCTTCCTCCACGCGTGCCACCGACCCTCAAGCTCGCCGCTGCCTCCCGCGGCGTCCCTTCGCCTTGCGCGACCTGCACGGCCGCCGACCATGGAGGCCACCATGCTGGCCCGCAGCTTCGCCACCGCTTCCATCGCTTTGCTCCCGTAGGCACGCAGCCACCCCGCGGCCCCTGCGTTCCTCGCGACTCCGCTCCGCGACGTCCTTCCTCCTTGCCAGCGTCCAGCCGGAGGAGCTCCGCCCAAGCCTCTGCCCGGCGCCGCCAGTTTCCTCCATCGGGCGCCTTGCTCCGTCTCTTGCGCATCCGCTGCCGTCGGCAGTGTCTGCACTTCCACCTCCGTGTCTGCACTTCCACCTCCATCCATGGTGCCTCCGCTTCGTTCGCTGTTGCCGTTGCTCCACTGGGTTCCCGGCGACCCCCGCGTCCCGCTGGACCAATGCTTGCTCCGGTGCTGCTTTGACCTCCCCTGGTTCATCTCGTTTCCAACGAACAGCAGCCCGATGGCTTCTCTGTCCAAGTGTCTTCTGCACGCCAAGGCCCGGTGCACCCCTCGTATCCCCAAGTACCTCGACACCCACGTTCTCTTATAGAATGCGTACCACTACGCCGAAGACCTTGGATGCACCAAATTCCACTACAAGATGTATCACTACCGTCGCACGAACCGAGACCGGCAAGTCCGAAGACCCCAAGTACCACGACTACCCTCGAGGACATTGGTTCCATCAAGTTCGACTACCAAACGTGTACCACTACTTCCACTACGACCCGTGAATGACTACTTCCCTCGACGTTTTGAACCGCCTCAAAATGCACGCTTCGAAGGTATACCGCTGAGACGACCGCACGTGGATGAATGCATGAGTTGTATGAGATGCATGTTTGGATGTTTTATCCGCACGTGAATGTTACTTGTTCCTCCTCGTTGCCACGCCGTCGATCCGTGGGAACCCAGTATCCGGGATCACCCTACCATCCGTGCATGACACGCTCCCGTCACATTTCCTTTTGCACCGGTATCTCCATGAGCTACCGAAACCGATATATTGTCGTGGCATCATTTTCCGATTCGTTGCCGTGGCACCCCTTTCGTTTCCGTCACAATGACAAATGCTCCATAACATGCTCTTATCAACATTTTCATAAATATTGCTTAAAACTTGCAAATGTGATCTGCATCATGATAACAATATTTAAAATGTTTAAAATTGTTGTTGCATTAAATTGCCAATGCACATCAGGATTTTCCGGAATTGTTGTTGTTGTTTCCGGCCTTATTTAAACTGGATTAAATGTGTAGTTTTCATATGCTTCACCTCTTGCCATGTTTTCATATGTTGGATACATAAACGAGAGAGAACTAAATAAATGTATGTGGTGTTTCGTCAATATGCAACTCGTTGCATATTGAGCTCCGCTTAACTTGTAGTATTGTTTGTTGCACTTTGCCATGCCATGCCTCTTTAAGCTGGACAATCATCATACTTGATTGTGCATCATGCCATGTTTATGTGATGGTTGTTTACTATGTTGTTTGCTCCTTTCTGGTGTTGCTTCTTGTTAGATCCGGTAACGTCGCGTTTGTGAGGACCCATTCGACTACGTCTGTTGTCTTCTTCATGGACTCGTTCTTCTTCCTTGCGGGATTTCAGGCAAGATGACCATACCCTCGAAATCACTTCTATCTTTGATTGCTAGTTGTTCGTTCTATTGCTATGTCGCGCTACCTACCACTTGTTATATCATGCCTCCCATATTGCTATGTCAAGCCTCTAACCCACCTTCCTAGCAAACCATTGTTTGGCTATGTTACCGCTTTTGCTCAGCCCCTCTTATACCGTTGCTAGTTGCAGGTGAAGTTGAAGATTGTTCCATGGTGGAACATGGATATGTTGGGATATCACATTATCTCTTATTTTAATTAATGCATCTATATACTTGGTAAAGGGTCGAAGGCTCGGCCTTATGCCTGGTGTTTTGTTCCACTCTTGCCGCCTTAGTTTTCCGTCATACCGGTGTTATGTTCCTTGATTTTGCGTTCCTTACGTGGTTGGGTGTTATGGAAACCCCTTGACAGTTTGCTTTGAATAGAACTCCTCCAGGAAGGCCCAACCTTGGTTTTAACATTTGCCACCTAAGCCTTTTCCCTTGGATTCCGCGAACTCAAGGGTCATCTTTATTTTAAACACCCGGGCCAGTGCTCCTCTGAGTGTTGGTCTAAACTAGAGCACTGTGCGGGACCGTCCCTTGGCAACTTGGGTTATGTTGGTACCTGTACGCTTAGCTTATCCGGTGTGCCCTGAGAACGAGATATGTGCAGCTCCTATCGGGATTTGTCGGCACATTCGGGCGGTCTTGCTGGTCTTGTTTTACCATTGTCGAAATATCTTGTAACCGGGATTCCGAGACTGATCGGGTCTTTCCGGGAGAAGGAATATCCCTCGTTGACCGTGAGAGCTTGTGATGGGCTAAGTTTGGACACCCCTGCAGGGTATAAACTTTTGAGAGTCGTGCCCGCGGTTATGTGGCAGATGGGAGTTTGTTAATATCCGGCTGTAGAGAACTTGACACCTGACTTAATTAAAATGCATCAACCGCGTGTGTAGCCGTGATGGTCTCTTTCCGGCGGAGTCCGGGAAGTGGACACGGTCTTGTGTTATGCTTGAACATAAGTAGTTTCAGGATCACTTCCAGCTTCTCGACCTTTGCGTTGCTTCTCTTCTCGCTCTTATTTGCATATGTTAGCCACCATATGTGCTTAGTGCTTACAGTAGCTCCACCTCCTTACCTTACCCTACCCATAAGCTTAAATAGTCTTGATCTCGCGGGTGTGAGATTGCTGAGTCCTCGTGACTCACGGATACTTCCAAACAGTTGCAGGTGTCGATGATACCAGTGCAGGTGACGCAACAGAGGTCAAGTGGGAGCTCAACGAAGATCTTAATCGTTGTTTTGTATCTTTTCCGGTTGATCAGTAGTGGTGCCCAGTTGGGACGATCGGGGATCTAACATTTGGGGTTGTCTTCTTTTATTTCGGTTCCATAGTCAGACCTTTGATTATACTCTGGATGATGCATGTTTGACTTGTATTTGTGTGAAGTGGCGGTTGTAAGCCAACTCTTTATCCCTTTCTTATTTAGTACATGGCATTGTGTGAAGATTACCCCTCTTGCGACAAAACCACAATGCGGTTATGCCTCTAAGTTGTGCCTCGACACGTGGGAGATATAGCCGTATCGTGGTTGTTACAAGTTGGTAATCAGAGCCATCCCCGACTTAGGAGCCCCCTGCTTGATCGAATCGCTGACGTTGTTGAGTCTAGAACAAAATGTTTTGAGTCTTAGGATTATATATATATATCGGAGTGTAGGATTATTTTTACTCCTCGGTCCCTTCATCGCTCTGGTGAGGCCTCCTGGCGTAGAAGGTTTTGACTTTTCTCTCCTCAAATTTCACGAAAAAATTAGGATCACGCGGGTATCTTAGAATCGTTCCGATAGTCTTGTGACGAGAACATTGTTCTTGGTGCCTCCTGACATTTAGGGGTTGTGGCAGTGTCCTGAGAGAGTTGAGCTCCGAGGTGTTGTCGTCACAATTTTATCGTTGCAGTTCTGGAATACCTGAGTTCGCCGACATCGAAAATCTCTTTTATGATGTTTTTGGTGACATAACCTCGACGCCACCCAGCACTTGGGTGGGAGTTCGGGAGTATTGCCATAACTCGTATAACAGATGCTTTTCGAAGGTTGAGGTACACGATTTCGGAATGTTTCTTCGTTTTGTGGAAGGATGGATACAGCTGGATGTAGGGATTGTTAGTTTGGGTGAGATATTATGCTTCCCCTGTATCCCCAACACCTGATTGCATAACCAAAAAGTTTTGGGAGTTTATAGGTGGGATTTCAAGTAGCTCCTAGAATATCTTTCCGACAGATGCATGATATGGGATTGGGCAAATATCTATCATATGTATTTGTTCCAGCTTATTCTGCAAGCCAATCCTTGTTTTGTTTTTGTTGTGGTATTCGAGTTGCTTCAATGTCAAGTGTTGATTCCATACCTTTCCTAAGCGGTGTTCTCATATTCCTATGTGAATACTAATCCTTCTTATTTATCGAGATTGGCATCCCAATTCTATTTCCAACCGGTGCGCTTCTCTTCGAGATGATCCCATCATTCTCTCCACCCGCAAGATCAATTCTAAGTCTTCTCAACGGTTTGTTTCATCCGTGCCAAGTTATCTTTGTTTTTGCCATTAATGGCGCACTATAGGTGCGCCACTATTATCACACCACTAGTAACAAATAATAATGGCACACATTTGATGCGCCATTACTATTTTTTTGTTTTTTTTCTTAATCTCGGGTCACTATGGCTTAATCTCGGGTCAATATGATTAATCTCAAGTCAAATCGCACTTCGTGGTCAAACTTCCCGTAGGTCATCCATCCTCACATTACTCCAGCCCGAGCACGCTTAACTTCTCAGCTCTATCCAACCCCAGCACCAGCTCACTTAACAGGCACTTCTTGATATATCTATCATATCAATCCTATTAAACCTTGTTGATGTCTATGACTTTGTTCATGTTCATGAGTGTGATGAAATTTTGAAAAAATATTTCAAACTTCCCGGTCATATTACGTATCATATTTTGAACATTTTTCCAAAAAAATATTTGAAATCAATTTTTTTCCTGTTACTAGTGGCGCACCTAGCAAATGGTGCGCCATTACTAAGTTTAATTTTTTTCCATTTTCCTCCTCTAGATCTTAAAAGCCCAGTATCGTTTATTCTGTTAGGTTTTTGGGGATTCTGACAATCTTCAACAACGTTGTCCCGTTGAATTCGGATGTAACTTTTCGAGTAGATCATTTTTCATATAAAAAACTTTTTCATCCGAGTTCGTATGCAAAAGTTATGCCCATTTTACTAAATTCCAGAGAGATTTTGCAAATAAAGTTGAAATTCATATTTGTAAATTTTCCCAACAACTAGACCACATATCATGTGGGAAACTTATTTTCTTTTATTTTTTGACATTTCCATCATTTTCTTTTATTTTTAAAAAGCTGAAAAGGCGGTCCACAGGGGGGTGCATTTGGTTATGGCGCACCTACACAAAGTGTGCCATTACTAACTTTGACCAAGTCAAAGTTAGTAATGGCACACTTTGTGTAGGTGCGCCATTACTAAGTTTGACATAGTAATGGCGCACCTATGCAAAGTGCGCCATTACTATGTCAACTAGTAATGGCGCACTATCCCCTTGTGTGCCACTGCTAACAATTTTTATTTTTATTTTTTTCAAAACTAGTAATGGCGCACCACACACCAGGTGCGCCATTAGTAATATGTCAATAA